TGATGTTGTTGGTTGCTTTGCAGCGGGCCTAGCTCAGTTGGTAGGGCACAGAAGTTTTTTTTTTTTTTTTTTTTTTTTTTTTTTGCAAATAATTCGCAAATCTCTCAAGGTAGTGAACTTCCATTTACATTCATTATCCACCCTCCATGCATTCGCAAATAATCCACACTCGCACATGCTCACAAACGCAACAGCTGGGAGTACATCTATATTATATGTATAGCTCCTTTCTCTGTAGACAAGCAGATCTTGGGCACAGAAGTTGCATTCACTACGTCGTGGGTTCAATATAAAAAAAAAGAAAACAGCCGTGGAGCATGGAATTTTGGCAGGGGCGAGGTCCCACTAGTAAAGAGGATTGGATTCAAACACCTGAATCTGGCTTTGTTTTCGGAAACGTGCAGAATGTCGAGATTGAACTGCGTTTCCCCATCTCTGCGTAAAACACGTCCCGATTCAGGATATTTATCCAACCCTCTTTGCTAGTGGGACCTCACCCCAGGTCGACAACAAAAGCGCAGGGAGGCTGTCGAAGGCCTATCCCCACCCTCCCGCGTGGTATCAATTTTTTTTTTTTTTTTTTTTTTTTTCCGTGTGGTATCAGTTCAACTTATTTGGGGCGCATACGAAACAAAAACGAAAAGAGTGCATCTGCCCATGAAAGGTGGAAAAGTACACTCGTTACTATTTACAGCAAACCCACGAACCTGGCCATTTTCTGCAGGAAGATGCACTCGTTTCGTTTTTCGTTTCCTGTGCAGTGCGGCGACGCCCTTGGTTGCCTTCTGGAGGTGCATTCCCAAGGGGTCTGGTCCCACCTACGGTTGTTGAGTTCAGAAAACTCAACGGCGTGACGCCATTTCGACATTAATAAATTTGAAACAAGAAATAAAAAAACTGAAAAAAACGCTAGAAACAGCTTTTCTCCTTATTTTTTATAAGGTAACTCGGAGAAATGAAACATGTCTGGAACGGAGGAACTCGGTTCCGCCGGCGCTAATTTTGCGCTCGGACCAAGCGCTGTTCGGCCGGTAACGGCGTTCCTGGGGCGACAGCTCCCGCGGACAGCAAGACAGCGGTCTGGTAGTGACGTCATCTGGCTCGCTCCTTGAAGCGACAACAGGGATGTTGACGAAAGTGAACACCCCTGCTAGCTTTGACGACACGGGGTTTCCTCCCTGCAGCCTCATCACTTTATGTCATCACTTTATGTCATCACTTCATGTCATTGTTTCATTGTCTCAAGTGTCGTTTTAGACTCGACCGCCGCGAGTCAAAGCAAAGTGAACACCCCTGCTAGCTTTGACGACACGGGGTTTCCTCCCTGCAGCATATCTCATCACTTTATGTCATCACTTCATGTCATTGTTTCATTGTCTCAAGTGTCGTTTTAGACTCTACCGCCATCAGTCAAGGCACTGTCTCTTATACACATCTAGATGTGTATAAGAGACAGCAATGTTTCATTGTCTCAAGTGTCGTTTTAGACTCTACCGCCATCAGTCAAGGCACTCCCGTACTCATGTATGAGCCGGCCATAGTGTCACGTAACTTGCCCTCTCCATCTTCACGTCCTTGGCCCATATCTCTATTCACTACTTATCACCCCCTTAGTCCTCGACCTCTAGCATATCAAACTTCTTTCTATCGGTATGAATCCAGAAACAGGGACAGGGATGGCGAATAGGTCGCCTCCTCCTGACCCAGGTGGTCACGAGGAGGACGACGCTAGAGTTAGGGAACTTCTCCGTCTTTGTTACGAAGATGGTATTCTCCCCAGGGATATTGACCCAGGGGAGGTGATGGTACAAGGACGGAATGTCAGGTTCAAGGTAAAGGACTCTATTGACAGACTTAAGGTACAGTGGCTAAAGGAGCGAACGATCACCGTGATTTTTAGGGATGCAGCTCGTTTCCTCTCAAGGAACGTGAAGGAAGACCTCATCAGAGCGTATGAAGACGAGAAAGTACAGACAGGCGAATTCGGTGAGGGCTTTAGTAGAGGGAGAGTCAAGATGGAAAGCCTAAATGTGGCCTCGTATGTTGCAAAGAGCACCACCATCTTTGCCTGGCTCGTGGAAAAGCAGAGTGCGGAAGTGGTATTGGGAGGGGATATGTACAGAATGGAATTCAAGCCATGGCTCACTAAGGAGCAGCTGAGGGAGCAACGAAGATTGGAAGATCTCTCGACCTTCTGGGTCGTCGCGGTTCAAGTTCCGTTAGATGCGATGTTTTATTTGGAGGCACATATTACACGAGCCATCGGACCGGTCATTTTGACGCACCCACCGGAGCGAGACCGTCTGAAGCCGGCGCTCGTCAATATCAAGTTCGATCTCGATCCGGAGGCGAGACCAAATATGAAGGACTCGATAACGGTGGATACCTTCGAAGATGACGAATTGGAGGTCAGGCTCGCGTCCTCGGATACTCCTCGCTGTCGAAAGTGCCGTGCGTTCTTCCACACTACCGATGAATGCACAAGAGGAGGGCGGTTTCGCCAGCAACAGGGCGGTGTAGGAAGCCAGGGCGGCAGGGATGAGGCGGCTCAGGAGGCTTCGTCCAGACAGATATACTATGGTCTGTTAGGAAGAGGAGGAGGAAGTGCTCAACCCGCGGCTTCTGCTGTAGGAGGAGGCTTGGCTCAGCCACCGGATTTGAGTTTTGCAAACATCTATCAGAACCCGGCTTTCATGGCAGTTCCGCAGGCTATGGAGTCTAACGCGGTTTTGGCCCAACTGCTGCAAGAGCTGGCGCTTGCACAAGCCGGCAGTTCCGTTCCGCTTGGACACCCAGTGGGGGTAGTCCCTCAGATGGTCAATCAAAGCCAGGGGGGCGTTTTTCAACCATATCAGGAGGTGCGGAGTATGTCTCTTCCCAGGAGGCGGCCAGGTAGATGTGCAAGGAGGGCTTGGCGGAGGTCCAAGTTCCAATCAAACACCGGGCAGGATGGAGCGTCCTGGCTCGGCAACTCCAGGAGGGAGAATGAGAGGGAGTACCCCCGGGAAGCATAGAAGAGTAGACAGCGAAGGGCAGGATGAAGTGCTCAGGGAAGTGTCGGCTTCCTCCCTCCCCGGATCGGAGGGCTCGGGTGATCAAGCGACAGTTATAGGAACTCCAGGAATGAAGACCACCAGAAGACGAACGCCTGCAGTTTTAACTCGGGGACAGCTGGACATCGTCGAAAACAGGATTCTGTCGTTTATGTGCACCGCGGCAAAGGGGACGCTTTCGGTGGTTGCATGGAGCGGAGGGGATGGAGTGTCGGAGCTGTTTAGCACCGCATCTCCGGATCAGCCAATGCCTACCGCAGTTACCAATGTTATTCAAGGAGCGGTGAGAGATAAGTTCCTGGTCCGGCTGATCCCGGACGAGCCGATGGGCAGGTTCATCTTGGACCTGGAAAACGGCAAGAAGCTGAAATTCTTTGTCCCGATTCTTGATGCTCGTATGGAGCAGGCGCAACTGCCAAAGCTGGAACACGCAGTGATGAGGCTTCTTCCACTTGTCTGGTTTGCAGAGGGCAGACGGCAGGAACTTCGGAGAATCAGAGTTCCCCAGTTCTGCACCGGCGAATTTTTGGTGGATCTAAACGGCAAGATGGCAAGGGACAAGAAGTTCAATTCCAAGTTTATCAGAGATTTCCTCGTAACACCATGGGACCAGTAGTCGTCGTCATCCGGAACAGCCGCCCCTATCCAACAAGTATCTGGGAATCAGGGCTTGAATGGGTAGGCTTCGCCTATCTACATGGAATCTACGAGGCTTAGTCGATCAGTCAGGTAAGTTCAAGAAAGCGAGACTAAAATCCTGGATTCACGATAAAGGCTTCCATGTTGCATGTTTACAGGAAACTAAGTTGAATGAAGAGAGAATTAACGATTTAGGGACCTGGTGGGATGACCCCCAAATCTGGTCGCCCGCACAAGGCACCAGAGGAGGGGTTGCCATCCTCGTGCATAGAGACGCTGAGTTGGAGATAGTAGATTATTTTGCAGATCTCTAGGGACGTTGGGTTTGGCTAAAGTTATGGGCAGACGACAAGGATTGGTTGATTGTTAATATTTATGCTCCGACAGACAGGAGAGATCGAGCTGCCTTCTTTGAAGATCTGAGTGCGTTGATTCCGGAATGTCCGAATTTAATTATTGCGGGGGATTGGAACATCTCACTGGACTCGGCTGCTTCTAAACACGGCAGTCATAACCCAGCTGATGTTGTTAACCTCTTAAGCTTAATGAACAGCCGATCGCTGGTTGATCCATACCGTCTATCACAGGGCATACATGGTATTCCAATCACCGAGAAGGCATAGGTATAATCAGTCGTAGATTGGACTTCTTTCTAATCTCCGATCAACTGTGGGAGCAGGTAGACGCAGTCCAAGAACACCATCATCCTCTCTCTGATCACAAACCTGTTCCCCTGCAGTTACACACTGCATTCTTGGCTAGGGGCAAGGGGTATTTCAGGTTCAACACCCAGAATTTACAAGACCCAGGCCTAGTGGAGTGGATGAGATCCTTCTGGGCTGACTAGGAGAAAGTCAAACAGAGTTTCCCCTCGATGGAAGATTGGTGGCAGTCTGGCTCAACCATGTTTTCAAATTTGTTGAAGGTGTTCTCTAGGATTCTGACCTCGAATAGGAATAAGGAGGAAACAAAAATCAGGAGAAGATTGGAGGAGGTGGAGCTCATACTGGAGCGCCACCCGATCTCTCGAATAGTCTGGGGAAAGGAGAGATCGAAGCTGTTGGCAGAATGGGACAACCTTCAACAGAGGAATTCAGAGGTTTGGGCTGAGAGGTTAAGAATCAAGGGTATCGCAGTGTATGATAGAATGAGTAAGGAAGCCTTTCATAAGCTCGTCCCTCGTAGAGCCTCTCAACCCATTAACGAACTCACTCACCCCTTTGACCCTCAGGCCCCGAAAGCCAGGGACATTGCAACGATTAGCGAGTATGCGGCGCTATATTATAAGGACATACTCACTTCCCGCCTTCAAGGTCAAGAGGTGGTTTCGGACCTGTTCCAACACTCTTCACACTGGGATAATATATCTGTCAGATTGTCCAACACTGCTAGACTGCTCCTGGACCGACCGATAACCAATGAGGAAGCTAAATGCACTCTGAAATCTATGGCGAAAGGGAAGGTGCCTGGAGATGATGGTCTGCCAGTCGAAGTTTACCTCTCTATCTGGGATGCTGTAGGACATAACCTAGTGGAGATGTACAATTCAGTTCTTACCGGAGGGAGCCTGTCCAAGAATATGCGTAACGGAATCATCTCAGTATTGTATAAGAAGGGTGACAAGGCTGAGGTAAGGAACTACAGGCCTATTGCTCTATTGAATACTTCCTACAAAATCCTAGCTAAAACGTTAGC